AGAGAGAGAGAGAGAGAGAGAGAGAGAGAGAGAGAAAGAGAGAGAGTCACACGTACGCACGCACATACACACACACATATATAGGCAGATAGACAGACAAAGAAAGAGAGAGACTTTTATAAATGTAAAGAAAAAATATATATGAAGGAAACAAAAAAAACAATAAGTCACTGTCTGATGATGCAAATAGAATAATAATAAATAATAATAATAACAATAAATAATAATAATATTAAACAACAACAACAACAACATTAATAATAATTATCCTCATTATAAAAAAATTACATTATAACAAAATAGTTTCATAAAAGGAAAAAGGATACTTAATTACGTCACGCATGCCCAACTAATAAACACTGGAATATAAACACACAAACAAAACCATAAACAATACATACGTATACACCTGTAGTACCTCACACAAACACACACACACTCGCAAACACACACAACATATATATATATATATATATATATATATATATATATATATATATACATACGTCTGTATTACATATAAATATATATAATACATAAATCAAGTGATGCATAGTAATGCAACTACAACCTGTGACGTCAGTGTGTATGTGTGTGTGTGTGTGCGCGCGCGCGTGTGTGTTAGCGTGCGTGCGTGTGTGAATTGAGATATACATTCACTTTTGAGATATAAAAAAATGAAAGAATAATTGAACAGGAAAAAGTTTACGCCGTGTATTTAGTCTCATTTCTCACTGAAATCATTTGAGAAAAATTTTAATTCAAATTGGAAAAAAATCACCAAAAACAATTTTAATAAATCGTCTGCAAAATTCTTTTGACGGAAGATGGTGAGTATGATTTTTGCTGCTGCGGTTGTTGTAGTTGCTGCTGCTGAAAATTATTATTATTATTATTGTTGTTATTATTGTTGTTATTATTGTTGTTGTTGTTGTTATTATTATTATTGTGACGTTGTTTTTGCTGTTGAATCGTATTTTTCGTAATAAGGTAATTGGTGATTTCGTTTTTATTGTCGTTATCACTTTCGTTACCGTTATTATCATTATTGTTGTTGTTGTTGTTATTATTATTGTTATTGTTGTTATTATTATTAGTATTGTTGTTAATTTCGACTAGCGATTGTAGTGAGTCTTGCACGGTTAGCCAGGGCGAGTTGCTATTGGCTGATGAGAAACATGAGTCGAGCTGTGATTGGCTGGAGAAACATGCCCCTATATTGTTTTCATTGGCTAGAGTATCTCTGGAGAGAAAATCGTTTTAGGAATAAAATTTTCTAAAAAAAAATGAACAATTATAAAACAAAAATTTAAATTTAAAAATAATTTAATGTCATTTAAAGTATTCCGAAGGTAATAATTAATTAATGTTGTCTTGGTCTGCAATATGATCAACAGCTTTTATGTCATCACAACTAAAATTTATCAACAACTGTCAGTTAGTTAATTAATTATTCTATCAATTAATTAATTAGTTAATTAATTGTTAGTAAAATAAAAAAAATAAATAGAACAAATAAATAAGAAAATTAATTAAAGCGTTATTCTTAAAAACAATGAACCTTCTTCCGTTCATACGTAGACAACAAAAATACTTGCCCGTGATTAGACGAAGCATCCAGTGACGTCACAATGTCGTCATCGGTAGCCATGGAAACGTTGTGACAAGATGGCGGGAACATTAATAACGACGATGATGACGACGACGACGATGATAATGATGACTGAAGCTTGTGGGGTATCGATGACGATGACGATGGGCTGAATATCTCAGTTGTTGAATCGGCTACGGGCATACTATTATAATTATTGTTGTTGTTGTTATTATTATTATTGTTGTTGTTGTTGTTTTTGTTGTTGCTATTTTTGTTGATAATTATACTGTTGTTATACAAATTATTATATTCATTGTCGGTTTCATCATTCTCGTCGATACAGCTTATGTCCATATTATTATTATTATTGTTGTTGTTGTTGTTGTTATCATTATTGTTGTTATTACTATTGTTGTTGTTTTTGTTGCTTATGATTTTGCTGTTTGCCATCTTGTGACTGCTGATTCGACTGCTGAGAGAGCTGATGTTTTTGTAAAAAATTGATTTCGAATTATTATTATTATTGTTGTTGTTACTGTTGTTGTCATGTATGTTGTTGTTATGTATGTTATTATTATTATTATTACCACAATCGACGTCATCGACAAAACTGTAGTCACCGCCTAGACCACAGATGACGTCATCATAGTCGTCTTCGTCGTCGTCAATGTTGAGGTCGTTGTGGTTGTTGTGGTTGTTGTTGTGGCTGCCGACGTGAAAATTAACCCCATCGTTCTGGTTGCAGTAGCTACTTTTAACAACGAAACTCGTATTGTTGTTATTATTGCTATTGTTGTCGCCATTGTCATTAATGTTGTGATTATTATTGTTATTATTATTATTGTTGTTGTTGTTGTTGTTTTGATGGCCGATGCTGATATTCGCGTCTTGCATAAAACGAATGCAACGCTTTTTTCGCCTGTTGAACATCAAACAACAACAAAAATAATAATAATAATAACAACAACAATAATAATAATAACAACAATAATAATAACAATAATAATGATGATGATGACTGACCGACAAGGCTTGCACCACCTGGACTGCTGTTCGATGCCATACCTGGCTCGACATTTCTTGGCGTTCATACAGTCTATAACTGAATGAATGAATTTAATGAATGAATGAATGAATGAATGAATGAATGAATAAATGAATAAATGAATGAATGAAAAAACGGATAGTAGTTAAACGAAAAAGTTAAGGTGAAAATCTCAGTGAAAATTTTTTTTTAGAAATGACACACCAAACACAAAAAAGTACAGGACATACGCACGCATACTATCGCGCGTCTGATGGTATACAATCGTACAATCGAATGAGGAGAAAAACAAACTAATGAAAATGATACATACAAACAAACAAACAATTATACAATTTTGAAATAAAAATTAAAAAACATAAATTCCAAACAGAATCGACAAAAAAAACTGACCTCGATCGCCACTACCGCCAACGCCACCATTATTAACGTCCCCAGCACAGCGGGCATAACCCCCAACCCCCCCAGCCACGCCCCCAATGATCACGTTCCCATCATTATCATGACCACCCTCTCTCATCATCATCATCATCTCTTTCTTCTTCTTCTTGCGCGCGTGCACGGCGTAGTTGTCACGGGCCGTCCAAGACGGGTAGAGTTGTCTGGTGGTGGTGGTTCCAAGATGATAATGATGATGATTGTCATGATGATGATGATGATGATGATGATGGTGGTGGTGGTGGTGATGATGATGGTGATGATGATGGTGATAATGATGATGCTGACGTTAAAAGTGAAGAAAGAGAAACATGCTAACAAACCAAAACCGGAAAGTAAACATACAGGCAAACTAAAAGAAAAAAACAGACAGACAAACATACAAACACACAAACAAACAAACATACATACATACATACAAACAAACAAACCTGTGAAGTTCTTTTTCACGCTTCGCCATATCGTAATACTTCGTTTGCTCAGCTCTGTTTAAGGAATGCCACTGTCAACATGATGATAATGATGATGATGTTTATGATGATGATGTTTATGATGATGATGTTTATGATGATGAGGATGATTATTGTTATCACGTTGATGATAACAATGATGATAACGATGGTTACAATTTAACGAAGATGACAATAGTCACCATTATCTATTGCATCATGGGTCACAATTTTTACCATCATCATCATCATGTCCACAAGCCCATCATCATCATCATCATCACCTTTACTATCACCACCATCATCACCACCACGTGACTCCCAACCTCATCATCGTCACCACGTGACCACCATCGTCACCAAGCGACCACCATCGTCATCACGTGACCACCATCGTCACCAAGCGACCACCATCGTCATCACGTGACCACCATCGTCACCAAGCGACCACCATCGTCATCACGTGACCACCATCGTCATCACTTGACCACCATCGTCATCACGTGACCACCATCGTCACCAAGCGACCACCATCGTCATCACGTGACCACCATTGTCATCACTTGACCACCATCAACACCACGAGACCACCATCGTCATCACGTGACCACCTTGCGTCCGAGAATTTGATTGATGGCTGCTGATTCTTTGAGGGTACATTCGTCGATAACTTTCTGTCGCATCTCTTTCATAAAGAGCATGAACGCATTCAACGGTTTCTTAATATGCTGCAACCTACTATGGTTATTATTGTTGTTGTCGTTTACGTTGTTGTTTACGTTGTTGTTGTTGTTCATCAAGGAGGAGGATGTTGGCGTTATGATTGGATAGTTTGACGATGACGTAATCGATGGCGATTTCAAGATCGGAGAGAAGGGTGAAACGGTTTCGTTTTTGTGATGATGATGATGGTGATGATGATGGAGAGGAAGATGGTGGTGATGATTGCTAGTGTTGTTGTTGGCGGTGGTGGTTGTGGTGGTGTTGTTGTGATGATGATGGTGATCTCGATTTTGTTGTTGTTGTTGTTGATTATTTACGTAATTGTTGTTGTTGTTGTTGTCGTTTTTTTTGTCGCTGCAGAACTTGAATATAGGTGTCGTTGTTAAGTTGGGCGGTGTTGCACTAGGTTTCCTAAAATAAAAACATTCATAAAAACTGATTGTATGAACAAACTAGTTGGTGTGTGGTGTGTGGTGTGGGTGGCGCGAGTGTGAATTGTCCTGTATATGCGTTAATAAACATTGATTTTTATACAAATGATATCCACAAAACAGAACACAAGCAAACACTGCGGTGGTATGTATAAGAATCTGTGTAAATATCTGTATGTGTGTGTGTGTGTATGTATGAGCGTGTATGTGTGTGTGTGTGTGTGTGTGTTTGTGTGTGTGTGTGTGTGTGTGTGTGTGTGTGTGTGTGTGTGTGTGTGTGTGTGTGTGTGTGTGTGTGTGTGTGTGTGTGTGTGTGTAGTGTATTCGTGTGTAGTGTTGTTTTCAATACATGTTTCTGAGTGTGCGTGTAGTGTGTGTGTTTGTAACAAACAAGCCAACAAACAAGCAAACAAATAACACACACACGCACACGCACGCACACGCACACACACACACACACACACCTATAAACAAACCCTGGTACGCTTAAGTTACCCATCTCGTCATCATCCATCTTTGACTTGTTCATATTGGCGACTAGTGTTGGATGGGAAATCCCGGGATAAGTGAAACCGAAACTGGATTGAAGTTTTGACAGTTGGGGGTAGCAAGGGAATGGATTGTGCGGCCTGGTTATGATAATGATCACGGTAATGACGATGATGAAATGATAAAAATTCGGATGAGTTATACATTACACACAGTGGCGATAAAAAAAATTACGATAATTATTCAATCATTTAAATAACAAAACAACAAAAATTGTCACCGTGACAAACTGCCCCAGCCAAGCACTCACGTTCACACGTTAAGACACACACACACACACACAAACACACACAAACACAAACACACACAAACACAGACAACCAAGCGCAAATAATCAAATTATCTTACAACAGGCAAACTACTCACCATGCAGATACAGAGGAATAAAATGGTGAACCAAGTTGAGCGTGTGGTAA